CTAACTCCACTTTTCTTTAAGGCTGATTGATATGAGAAAAAAAAAATGAGAGGAGAGGAGGAAAAGTTTTAATAAGCTCAATTTAAAAGTAGAAAAATGAGATTAAAAATTTTTAATTAATTTTTATTACTTTTTTTTATATTACTTCTTCTTTTTATTAAAATTTCAAAACCCCACTTTTCTATTTTTTTAAGTAGAGCTCATTATAATTTTTCTTCCCCTCCCCTTCTCTCCATTTCCCTTGTACCAAACAGTACGTTGGTAAAAATTATGAAAAACCCTTGATTAAAAACCTTTATTGACAAGAGTTCACCCAAAAAAAAATTTATTGACAAGAAGGATGTGATGAATTTAATACATATATAAAAAGCATTGATGGTCTGCAAATTTTTATACACAACATATTAATACTTTATAAAACATACTAGTGGTTTTTTTTTGGGGGGGGTATTCATGAAAATCACTTTATTTTGCGCCCCTAAAAATAGTGCACTACTGAAAATGAATGAATGATCATTCGTATATTGGCAAAAGTGTTAATTGGAACTTGAGAAAGTAGTATTTTTGTACGTGGACAACCAATCAAAGTATTTAAATAAAAATGAGACAAACGAATGCCTTCTGCAATGTCGATCGCATGCCATCACCATTCAAATGAAGCAGACTGTACAAATTATATGCCATCATCATCGTCGCAACCACGGTGGCGTCGTATTTTCGCTGCGTGACTGTAGAATTATGACAAAATGAGACATATTTAGTAGAGTAAACAATAGATCTGAGGAAAACATGCAGCATATGTCCAAAAAACAAAAAAAAACAAGAAGTTTCATCCTGCAGTTCTTCCAAAATGTGTAATCAATTACATCTTTCTGGTTGGTGTGCCATGCCAAAATTTCTAAGTTTGCGCAATCAAAAAATATAACGCCGGCAAAAACAAAAGAAGAAATTCCAAAAGAAAAAAAAACAAAACAAAACGATCCAAAGTCAAATGTGCTCACCTTTGAAGAGCCACAAGTGTGGTTTTAGAGAAGATGAGGCAGTCTCTATATGCCATCACCACCATCACCAGGACGAAGAAGACGAGGAGCATGATGACGTCGTATTTTCGCTGCGTGACTGTAGAGTTACGAGAAAAATGAGATATATTTAGCAGATTAAACAATAGATATGAGAAAAACAAACAGCATGTGTCCAAAAACGAAAAAACAAAAAGCTTCATCCTGCAGTTCTTCCAAAATGTGTACATCAATTACATCTTTCTGAGAAGAAAATGGAGAGATCACGAGGAGAGACGGTATATAAATAAGCTAAGGACGAATCTGATGACAACAATTCTCATTAATGCAGCCATATATCTGTGTTAGTATTTGAGTAGTAAATAACGTTAACTCTATTCTTATTAGTTGTAAACTTGTATTATGTCGTGAACATGCATTTGTGTGAGTTGTAAATTTAGAAGCATTCTAAATGATAATTAATTTGTGAATTTGACCCTTTACTGTAATTCTGTTTATAAATAAATTCAAAATTCAGATTGTATGGTGTGCCATGCCAAAATTTCTAAGTGTGCGCAATCAAAAAATATAATGCCGGCAAAAAGAAAAAGGAGAAATTCCCAAAAAAAAAAAACAGAACAATCTAAAGTCAAATGTGCGCACCTTTGAAGAGCTGCGAGTGTGGTTTTGGAGAAGATGGGGCAATCTATAATATCTGGATATGTCAGGTTTGGAAGTATGTTGTTGTAAAACCCTTCCTCTTGGATTTCGGGTTCGCAATTAAAAAGTCCCTTTAGTTCAGAGCACTCGCCAATGGTCAAACAATCCAACTGTGGAAGATGGCGAGTAGAGGGCAGAGAGGGTAAGAGCCATTTCAACTTTCTGCATCTCCAGACTGTAAGTTCAAAAAGTTGTGGGAAGCAGAAGGAATGAGAGGAGGATGCATTTGGAAAGTAGTGATGCTCTTCTTCTGACGACATCATTTCCTCCATCTCTTCACATTCTTCAATGCTTAGATCCTCCAAACATGGTAGGCTTCTGATCACAGTGCTTGGGAACATACACTTCAATTTTCTACATTTACTCACATATAACTGCTTAAGATTTTGGAAGACCATGAAACCGGGACCCTCCCATAGAGATACGAGGTTCATTGAATCCTTCAAATACAAGAACTCTGCTCCTGAGATCACCACCGTCCCTTTTTCTTCATTTACTGGCAATTCTTTTTCTCCATTTGACAAAGTTTGAACACTTGAAGCTTCCGTCGAAACCTGTGGCAATTACAATTTCATTTTTTTAAAGAAAAATGGACAAATTTATTCACATCAATCAAATTTAGAACATTCAAATTTTCTTTTTTAAAACCTCGATTTAAAAAAGTTAGATACATTGTAAGCATACCAAGGAAACTCCTCGCACTTTACTGATGTACAAATCTTTATATATCATCAGTGTATGGTTACAGGCAAAAAATATCAATTTATAATTGATTTCGTTTAATTTCCTATAAAATATATTTTTTATTAAAATAGTCTGTGAATCACCACGCACGCAATTATTCTTTCACTGCCATTTTTTCTGGGGTGAAATTTTATCGTCACAATTTTGATATGAAAAATTTTAAAACAATATATTTAATAAATATTAAAAAAAAAGTGAAATGAAGTCTCACAACACACACATATATATTCCATATAATTTCATCCATTGTGATCTGAAATTGAAAGAAAAGCTATTTGTGTCCATACATCAAGTATTTTTTTTCTTTCTTCACGCCCTTGAAAATCTCCTTGTAATTTATAAATTCCCTATATAATTTATACATCTACCCAAATGAGATACACACACACAGATAATGATTCTAATAGCATATATTCCATCTAATTTTGAAGACTCTAAATCAAAGTGGATATGGAATATTCATTCATACCGATACTGTTCCCAATTGTTGAAGAGCCCTTCCCAAAGTTGAATCCACAAATTTTGGGCAGTTCCCTATGCTGATGCTGTACAGCTGCACCTGAATCTGCAATCCTTGACAGATACTTTTCAAATTTGACAAATTTGTTAGCCTTATCATCCTCAAGCTGGAAAGCACAACTGCCTCACTGGAGTTCGCATCACCTTCACTGCTATGTCTAAAAATCACCTCCAGCTGATTAGCCTCAGCTATTGAGAAAGAGTCTAGTCGTGGAAGAATAATACCCGTGGACGTAGAGAAGAGTCTTTTGAGCTTGTTGCACCTCTTAACCGTCAAATATCTTAGTGTTGGGAAGTGAACGTCAGCACTGGACATGATCTGATGTTCCTCATTTTCTCCAATTATTTCCTCTAGTTCTTCACAATCAGATAAGATTAGGGAATCCAATTTAGGAAGGCTGGTGTGGAAAATAGTGCTCCTTGAGAACAAAAACTTCAACCTTTTGTTGTGAGTTACTTCTAAGGAATGAAGATGTTGAAAGCTCAAAACTTGCGTGGGAACAAGACCTCCCAGCATTTGTTGTTCTGATCTCAACATTCCTGAGTTGTTGGTTTCTTGTTCCTCATCATCACCAATCACTCGACAGTTGTGTTCAACTCCAGGACTTTGAATATCAAGCTCACCAGCATTCAGAACAGAAAGCGGAAGATTATTGAGAGCCTCATTATTATTTAATTGGTTGTATTTCAACACATACTCCCTTACAAGTCCCTGCACATAACAGAGGAGTGAAAAGTAGGCGAAATAAGATATTCTAAGTTCAGTGAAAAGGTTATGAAAAGAAAGAGATTGCAATACATTCAACATTTGTGCCTATTTGTACAGGTTAACATATGCAGTTCATTAATTTGGTAACTTTGATTTGTATGCAGGAATATATGATGTCTCAGTCACTTGCTTGTCTACATGCTAGAATCATGTTAAAACTGGAAATATATAATGCTCTGCATTGCTTAAATCCTTCTTCTTTTCAACTTCTATGATTTGAACTATCATTGATTGTGAGATAACAGGGAATAAATTGGTTGTATTTCAATGCATTCTACGTTCCTTGAAAAGATTATGAAAAGAAAGAGATTGCAATACATTCAACACTGTACCTATATGTACAAGTCAAGAGATGCAGTTCATTAGTTTAGTAACTTTAATTTGTAGGAAGGAATATATCATGTTGAAACATATAATGCACTGCATAGATGAAGTCCTTCTCCTTTTCAACTTCTATAGTTTGAACTATCATTAACTGGGAGGTAATATGGTATAAGAAAAATTTATATCATATTTGTATCAGTAGTACCAAAATAGTTACAAGTTGATCAAGTATATTGGAGAGTGAAAATAAAAGGTGTGAAAATTGATACATGTAAATAATTACAAAAGAATGCTAGATTAAATGTAGGATTGTTCGTTTTCAAACTAGCTTTTGTATGCAATATTTACAAATAAAAGATTGACAAAATTTGCAGTATTGAGAAACGGAAATGTAGAATATTAGTTACCTTTCCGGTCCAATGAATAGTTGCACCTATAATTGGCATGAAATTTGGGCAGTGATAAACCTTAACCTTGAAAAACTCCCCTGTATGCAACTTAAACCCCTGGCAGACATTAACAAGTCGTGGCAAGTTATCGAGTTCCATACGTTTCATGTTTGGGAATGTAATCTCCTTTTCACTGTCAATGTCATGATTTCCAATATTTGAGCACTTGAAAATTTCTTCAATTCGAGAAGAATCTGATATGGTTAGCAAACTTAGTTGGGGAAGTATTGAGGTAGCAGCACTGATCATGAAAATGAATTTAAGCTTGTTGCACTTAGAGATCGCCAGACTGTTCAATTTTAGCAGATCAGATTCAGCTATGGGTAGATTCTTATGAGTCTCTTCATTCCCCAAAAAAATTGCCTCCAACTCCTCACAGCAAGATATGGTTACATACGTTAACTCAGGAAGACTTTGACAAATATGAGCAGAAAAGACAACTTTTAGTCTTGTACAATTATTCAAAGTTAAGCCTTGAAGGTATTTAAATGTTGAACTTTGTTCTCCAACCCCAGTCTTATAAAGGAAAATAGATTGTACTCCACAGTTACGAAGTTCAATACGTTCTATAGCTGCCACTGACTTGCATTCTTCATTCCTCAGTTGATGGCCTCTAAGTTCCTGCAATTCCTTTGTGAAAGAGGGAAAGAGGGAAGAGAAGAAAAGAAGAGGAAATCCATCAACATAATTCCTAAAAAACGATAAATTGAGATTAATTAAAATTCTATATGTACATGTATTATTCCTGCATAGACTTAGTCTATCAATTTTTTGGTAAATTAAACAAGATCAGCCATATGCATATATAAGAAAATAGACATTTCACAATCAAGTTAAGTTACGAAGTTTTTTAGTTCAATTGGTTCAATATATATGTCGGCAAATACACACACACGTGTCACAATCAATGAAGTCAAGGAAAAATTATAATGAGGGGCCCATAAAAATCAATGTTTATTGTGGGCTATTGAAATGGTAAATAAATCGAATGGCGGAAATAACAAAATAACAAAATTAAAATTCTACATGTACATGTATTTTATTTTTTTAATGTGGAGTACGTCTAAAACAAAAGTTCTTTTTAGTAATTGCATTTTTATTTTCATATTGCAGAGTAATTCCAAACCAAAAGCAGGGTGAGACTCAAATGCACAAAAAGAATGATGTATGACTTCAGATATTTTAATTTCATTTCGTATTTTAAATAATAGAAGAACGTGAATGAATTAATTGACTGGATCATGTCTCAAGATGTATTCACTTGAACACTCTATTTGATATTTACCGCTTGCTAAAAAAATTTTTAGTCACATGAACAAAGATATCTTATTATATAAAAAGCTTTAATATTTTTTAACTTTTTTTTCCCAAATCAAGTTACAATATGTGAGGCAAACACGTACCAGATTTGGACAATCCTTCCAATCTATTGTCTTTATTGATGGCCACCTTGGATGATACCTCTCTGAGCAAATTCCGACAAGGTTTGGAAGATTTGCTAGTTTGAGGTATTCCAAAAGAGAAAGAGCTATTTGAGTCTCATCTTGATCACGCAGTGGTTGTTCTTCATCAGCATTTTCACCAAACACAAATTTCATTTGACGAGCATTTTTTATGGATAGACGCTGCAATTGTACAAAACTTTGAGCTAAGAAGACTGAGCATACAGATTCTAATTTGCAGCAATTATCAACAGACAAAATTTTCAATTTTGGGAAGCTCAAATTCTCCCATGCATCACCATCAACCTCTCCTTCTATTACATGCTTCAGTTCACTGCACCTTTCTATTCGGAGCTCTTGTAAGGACAGCAGAGTGCACACAGCAGAGACAGGGAAGAGAGATGTCAACCTCGGACAACCAGAAATATTGAGAAACTTAAGATTGCCTAAGTTGCAATCAGCAGGGAATATATGGAGCAACTGAGGGCAATTGGATATAGTTAGTCTTTCCAGCTTTTGGAACAAGCTAAAAGAAGAAAGACCACGATGTAGTTGTTGAAGATTATCCATATCTTTTAGCACTAACTCATCCAATCCTGGGGCAATCGCATCTTCATGAGTATTAATTTTGTCAACAATGCATTCCATCTCTGAACACCTTCTAAGACAGAGCTTAGTTAACTCATTCATGGCTCCAATAGCTTGAACAACATTAGGCATGAAACTTCTGCTGCCTCCCTCAAGCTCATGAAATTCAATTGCAGTTGCTCTTCGCGCAAGATCCTTGATTCTTGCAGCTAACATGGAGATTTTTAACTGACCCAAGCATAAATATCTTGTGCTTTCATTACGAGATATTGACTGTATTTCAGGCCTCCCCATTTCCAACCTATACCTTCTCACTTTCATCAAAGTAGTGGTGGCCACAAGGTATTCATAGCAATTTGCATTTTTTGAGTGTCGAAAATGCCTGGAAACATACAACTCTTCTAACTGTGAGCACCTTCCTATTACTTTGTAGCAACATTCACTTATCTTACAATCTGACAAATCTAACAACTTCAGCTTGTTTAAATTTTCAATTCCATTTGGCAATCTTTCAAACATACTTATTTGCAAGTCAAGAATTTCAAGTCTTGTAAGGCTTATCACAAAAGAGATGTCATGTAAATTCCAACCTTGCAATCGCAAAGTCCGAAGATTAGACAAGTGTTGAATTGATTGAGGTTGTAGCTCAATCCTATGCAAACACGTGCACATCATAATCAATGCCTTGAGTCCTGTAGAGCCTTCAAATGATGCATGTAATGTATCAACAAGTTTCACAGAATCTAATAATAGAAACTCAAGTTTTGGAGCACCCAGTTGAGACAAAAATTGAAATAATATACTATCATCATACCATGAAGATATAGCATAGCAATCTTTTATAACTTCATCAGAAATCAATCTATTCCATTCCTTTCCATTGTTTACCATAATGGTACTATTCTCTTGAGTTGCTACCCATAAAGCTACATCACGAACTATGTCATGCATTTTCACACATTTTTCTTTTCTGAAGTTGACAGAAAACATCAACAATGAAGAGTCAACGAGAACATTTATAGCTGCTCTAACTTGGCTCCTTGCTATTTCAAATGAGTCAGCATCTTTGCATAGGCCCAATCCAACTCCATATCTAAAAAGATCTTCAATTTCGATTTCATGATCTTCAGGAAACATGGCGCATACCAAGAACAACAACTTAGCCTCTGAATTTTTCAAGTAATCATAGCTTAACTTGAGAATAGTAAAGGCTTTATCCTCATCAAGTGGCTTTGAATGTCTCAATCTGTGCAATGCTACATTCATCTCATCAAGTCCTTTTCTTCTTAAGCACTTCCCCATGGCCACAATTGCAATGGGTAATCCCTTACATTCAGCGACAACTTCTTGAGCCACTTTTCTAACACCATCATCTACTCTACCATGAGTTTGAAATAGATCCCAAGCTTCACCTTCTGTTAACAAACCCAGGGAAATTGTTTTCTGGCAATCCATCATAGTACACACCTCTTGACGACGTGTGGTGAGAAGAATTTTACAGTTTCTTGGACCTTCATCCCTATAGGGATTCCCTATATCCTCAAGGTTCAGCGTATCCCATACATCATCTAATATAATCAAAATTTGTTTGTTTGAACTTTGTAATTTCAATGCAATTCTTCTTGCCCTACCCTCTTCAGTTTCTTGCTTCAGCTCAAGTCCCAATAAGTCCGCAATTTGACCTTGAATCTTCCTGATATTTGGAGTTTGGGTTACTGTTGCAATTATAACTTCATCACATAGCTTTGATTCTTTGGCTTTCTTTCCTATTTCCTTTACCAATGTGGTTTTGCCTGAACCGCCCATACCCCACAACCCGATCATAGAGCTATCATCATCTTGCAATGCTGCCCATAGTTCATCATGTGCTTTTTTCGTTGACTCAAAGAACATAAAACCTTTAGAAGAGTGATATTCTATGCCTTGAATAATAACAGGATGAGAAAATGGATTGAAGCGATCACTCTTTGTGTTTAGATCAATCATCCTCTGGGTTGTCTTAGCCAACTTTTTGCAGAGACAATATCTCCTCCAAGTAGGATACCATCGTCGATGACAGCCATTGTTGGCCCCTAGTTCGTCCTCCAATTCCTCCACCTCTGCTATGAGACTCTTTACATCATTCTTCCACCTGTCAACCTCACCATCAATCCTCTCAGTCCTGTTGATGGCCTCTTGAACACGTTCCTGTACCCTTCCTTGCTTGAGTATCAGCTCCTCCTTTCTGATCTGAACGTTTTTGGTGATTTTGCCGACACAGAACAAATACTGCAACCGCCGTAAAGTTGGATCCACTAGATATTCAGCAAGTTTTGCCGCTAACGACACTCCCACCTCTGCCATTTGGTATTAATAGCAACCTGAAAGGAGAGCCATTCATCATCATCAATTGACTAACTCAAAATTTCATTATGAAGAATTGAAGTATGTTAATTACGCGCTTAATGTTTCATGAAGATATCATGAAGATGAAAAGAATGATTTTTCCGTAATCCAAAGTAAAATAAGAAAGATCAAATGTCTCGGCTCAGCTTTCTCGCTCTGATAACAGGTTTTTTTGGGGCCTCTGCTATGTTCAGATATTAGAGTAACAAAATTTAATGTTTTGTGATTCTATTTTTCCCCTTGCAGATTGATGCAAAGGTGAAAGAAAGAAGAAAAAATGTAGTCTGCATGACAGCAGCAATTATCAGCCTCTAACAAGCCATTGATGCTTTGAGAACTGAGAGATCCACTTTGTAATGTAACTAATTACACTACAAAATGAGTCTTATACTTAAAACTAGAAAAATATCACAGATATAAAAAATTGTGGGCCTGTTTTGTTTTTGTTCTTTGTTTTCTTATTCTCAAAACAATTTTATAAAATTGTTTTTAAGAACAAATTTTGAAAACCAAAAACAAACAAAAAATTTTGTTTGGAAAGTAATTTTTAAAAAATCACATTTGAAAAAAAATATGAAAAATTATACTTTGACAAATGATAGTTATCAACGATAGTGATAAGCAGCGGGTAGTAGAGGAGAAGAGGAAAAAAAATTTCTCCAATTTTTCCAAAAAAGAAAAACACAAAAACAAAAACAAAAAAACATGTAAAGGTTGTTTTGGTTTTTCAGTTTTTAAAAAATATATTTTTGTCTTTTTGCTTTTTAAGACAATCAACTAAAAACAATTGCCAAACAAGTTTTTGGTTTTTCTATTTTTAAAAACAAAAAACCAAACAAACCCTGTGTTTGTGCCTAAATGCTTAGTTTCTCTTTTTCAATTGTTTTTTGTCACCTTCCTTAGCTTCTATAAATGTATGAAATTCAGATACTTTTTTCATTCCTCTGTTTAGGAAATGTCTCATTTCGAACAAGTGCTAGATTTAGTATATATTAAAATGCTAGATGACTCATTTTGACTAGTTAATTAATTAAAAGATAGTGAACGAGAAATTAAGAGATAAAAGATCAATGAGGGGAAATGTGAAACATATGTTCTCTACACACTATTGGTATTATTATCTTCTGTGTATCAATCCTTTTCTAACTATACTATATGGCTTTAGAATATTTAATTTTATTCAATTATATGACTAAAGTTCGATAGATGTACTCATTAAGAACAAAGAAATTAGTAAGTCACACTTTTTTGGGAAATATATAATATTTTAAAAGATTTCACAATGAAGTACATTCGTCATAGATGGGACTTTACAAAAGGGGTTCTCAGGTATTTTCATAATTTTTTTGTATTTTTACTTATTTTTTTAATCAAAGCTTGATAAATAAAATTTAAAAAAATATTTTTTAAGTTATCTTCATAACAATAATATCGTTAATTTCATTAATAAAAACCGTGAGCATTAAAATTTTAAACATTGACAAAATATTTTCTAATATTAACATATTAAATTTTTACGAATAATAATGATAACATGAAAAATCATTATTTATTGAATCCAACAGTATTAGAGTTAGATGAACCGAAAGATAATTGATAAAATAAGTGAACCAAATTGGAAAACGATATGACAGATAATTAATTTTCCAAATACATTAATGCAAAATATAAATTCTGAAGTTTCAAAAAAAAAAAAAGGAAATATAACATTGCCTTTTTACTTTAACTTTTACATTTGGTCCAAAGGCAGCTGGAAAGCAAGTAGATAAGGACACGGCGTCCCCAAACGCCTAATATAATAATCAAGTGGATCGCATGATTATATTGCTTTAACTTTTTTCAATTTTGATTTCATATTTTGAGGACTATAATCTTGCTCAGTTTTAGGGAAAAAGCAAAGGAAAACAAAAGAGCACTATCTTATCCAAGCCAAGATTCATCAACTCAATGTATGAACATCAAAATCTCTTTTTCTTTGCCTCTTTAATTAGGCTTTCACTCTCTGATCAGTGTTTTTCTATTTGTTATACTTGATTAAGACTTTATCTGCTATCACAACCTCAGTTCTCAAAGTATAGATAAATTGAGTGCTTTCATTTTCTTTCAACTTGGCACTGATCTGATAGAAAAACACAATCTATAACAGTAGATTTAGTTACTTTAGTCTCTAAAAATAGCTGCAAAAAGTTTAAGAGATATCTCGTGGCAAGAAAGTTACAATAATTGGTCTTATTTTTCATCAAGCTTAACGTTCAGTTTGCTCCTATATATTTAAGGATATATGAAGCAGTAAAAAGATTCCCATGCAGTATCTTTACGGAATAAAATTTTGATTTTCAAACATTTTTTTATTAGGAATCCCTTGTTGGTATGTTATTTTTTTAATCTAAGAATCACTGGACTTTGCCCCTACTTTTATGTGAAGCATAACACATTCTTCAAAACGGCTAAAACTATTATGTAATCTCTCAGATTGATTGCGGGAAACGTTTTAGGTAAATTAATTTATACAAACTTTGTTTGAAATAAAAATGTATTGAAAATTTACAGATAAGTCCGAATTATAAAAGTTAGTTACCAATAAATCATATATTCTGCAAATTGTCACAACTCACAAGATGACATGCTTATTGGAAGTGTTTAAATAAATTCAGGAGAGGGATATTGCTTCATACCGTGATAGATGAAGTTACACTTTCAGTGTAGGCTTGGAGATTTTGAAGAGTAATCACAGAATTGCACTGCGATGACCAGATCTGGTAAAATTTTTCAGAACTAGTATCTTATGTAATCCCTACAAGTGGTAGATGTACTGATTTTTTAATAAGTTCGTTCATTAGTTTGGTAAACAAAAAAAAAGGCAAACAAAATAAAGTAAATCATTATTTAGAAAGTGTTTTGAGTTGAATTAGTAGACGCAACTCTTTTTCAGTGTTCAACGTGTCTTCACTTATACTCCTCTGGTCCTATTTATAAGGCACTTCTAACATGTTTCGCACAGACTAAGAAAAACCTTAAACTTCATTAACTCTCATTTAAAATTTAATGACTTTCCAAATTTATCCCTATTTAATATACATTATACCTCATATAAACAAAGTCAACACAATTAACAATAAATAAAGGATAAAATTGTACATCCATGCAAAAAATTTCTCTCAGTGCCTTATAAATAGGACTAAAAAATACCTTCTTTCTCTGTCCTATAAATAGGACCAGAGAAGTATGTAAATATTTTTTTTTTCTATATAGCTGAAAAAGTGTTGCACGCGCCGACAATAAGGATTTTTTTTTGTGTGCCAACACATGACAAGGATAAGGTTTTTTTTTTTGGCCACTCATGCTGAGGATAAGTTGCCCTTTAATCTTTAAACAAATTTCAAGTACCTTTAATTAATAAATATTTTAATGAGGGATTTTAATCAGTTTTTCTACTTTATTTAATAAACAAATGTAAAAGTGTTTGAAGAAAATTGAAAAAAAAAAGTACTTCAATAAAAGAAAAATGCATATAAAACATATACAACTTAATGATTTGATTCTGTTTCTTTTCTTCAAGCATCATAAAAATTTTTGAGAGATAATATAAAAATATTTTAATAAAGATAGAACATGTGTGCTAGAAAAATCTTGAAATATTAACTTATTTATTGCAAAGCTATTATTCTTCCAAACTCAGGTGCGTACCGTTTCAAAATCAAAATTTTATTCCATGAAGAGCAATCTTTTTACTGCTTCAACTCCAAATACGTAACAGCAAGCTGATGAAAGGTAAATTTGAAGATGTAGAATCTGAAAAATAAGAAAGATCAATTGTTGTAACTTGATTGCCATGAGATGTAAGCTTTTCGCAGCTATTTTTAGACACTAAAGGAACTACGTACTGTTTTTGAGTGGTATTTTCTATCAGATCTGTCCCATTCTAGTTGAAAGAAGAACAAGTAACAAATGTAATATGTAAGTGACAGCTCCAGAAAACGAAAGACTAACGAGGATTTGATTTTCATACCAGATAATTAAGCTCGCAAAATTCAGCTTAAGATTCCCGGCTTGCAAATTTTCAGAGACCAGATGAACAGAATTCCACTGCGATCACCCGACTTTTCATGAGCTTGATGAGTCGTCAACTGGGTTGGAAATCACACTGCTCTTTCTTTCTCTCTCTAAAATAGAAAGCAAGGATCACAAAATGAGAAACTTAGAGGCAAAGAAAAAGAGATTTTCATGTTCATATATCACGTCAACTTGGGTTGTCAACTCGGTTGGGGCTTGGAAATGATAAGGCTCTTTCTTTGTCTTTCTAATGGACCCCAAAAATGATCCTAGGGAGAGGAGACTCCTAATGCAAAACCCCATCCTATGTACAACACATAATATTTTTATATAAAACATCATTATTATTTCCGAGGAATAAATTTTATTTTTCATTAATTAATTCATCTTATGCTCTTTCTATCTTACTTTTTTTTTTATGGTCTGCATATATTTTAGTGTCATATACAATATTATTGTAGTTTGTGGAATGCTTTTGAATTGGTTTTAATGTATTTAAATATGAATGTTTTGCATTTTAATTGAGGTCCGTATCACATCATTTTGCACTTAAATGTAAATTTGAGAAAATTCAGAAATTGCTTGGCAAAAATAATGATCTAGGTTGACTTTAAAGTTTAAACTACAAAATTTATTTGGACCTAATTTAATTGTGGTAAGTATTATCAGTTTATCATCTTACCTTTTCTTTTTTGAACGATACAGTTACCTTACTTTTTACTGTGAAAACCTATTTTAAAGCAATTGAAAAATTCCCTTTTTTTTCATAGAATTTCCCAAACCACATAACTGGTTTGTAAAGAAAGAATTACAATGAGATTCCAAAAATAGAAAATAATTATCAGTAAATTTTAATGACAAATGAGCAATTATCATTTCCTACTATGAAATTTGTTATTGTTCTA